AAAAACTACTCAGCTCACTCTCTTCAGCTCCGCCTGCCCCCACACGATTGGTACCCCACCTCTCCCTGCTCCCTCACGATGAGACCTGCCCTTCTGCCTGCCTCCTAGGGTTAACTGGTTTCTTCCTCATTCGCCATTATCCCTCCTCTCTCATGATCGCCCATAGGACTCGTTCTGCCTCTTCCCGATCTGACGAGCCCTCGCGCCTCTCATACCAGCTCGCCGCTCCTCCCTTGGCCTTGTCTCTTCACTTCTTGCATGTTGACTCACCTCTCTCCTCCCTCTCCTCCTCCTCCCTCTCCTCCTCCTCCCTCTCCTCCCTCTCCTCCTCCTGTCTCTCCTCCCCTCCTTCGCTCCAGCGTCGCTGCATGTAACTACTCGCAACTTGAACCCTATCCCCCCCACCCACCCCTGTCCTATCCATACCTGTCCCCTCCTTTGTACCCCACAGTGCCCATTCTGGACCCCACCCCCTATACCAACAGTGACCGACAAAACCACCCTATTGTAAAACTTGAAACTACCCACCCCCTCAAATACCTGTTCGACCGATTCTGTACCCACCAGTACCCTCCAGCCAAACTTTCGGACCCCAAGAGATGTTCACCCCTTCTTTGCTCTTTGTGGACCCACCCTTTCCCCCACATCCATCCCCTCCCTACCCTTCAACGTTTCATAAAGATTAACTTACTTGAGGACCCCACCCCACCTTCTACAGTCTCCTCACCCTAACCCCACCCCTCTACTCCCCTCTTCTTTTCTCCTCCGTCTGTCAGCCGCTCACCGTTGTTTGACTCTTTTTTTTGTTACTCGGACCCCCCGGACCCCCCCTCCCCACCGCCGGGACCCCCCAGACCCCTCGCCCCCCCCCGGACCGTCACGGTATGCCAACCCCGTACGCAATTACTAGTAACTATTTGACTACCGTGCACTGCCTCCCCTGCCTTTACTCAAACTTTTTAAAAGGACCGTAGTTTGATGGCCCCCGGCGGCCCCGGGCCCGGAACGGCGCCCCCCCCCCCCGGCCGGGTGACCGTACCCCGGCCCCGGCGGCGGCCCGGCCGGGGCCACGACGGCCGCCGCCCCGACGGCACATAGCGTTGACATTTTGCTTTTTCTGCTTTGGGCTGTATGTTTTTCCGTGAGGGGGTTGTTCTGCTTTCTATGTGGATTGGGGGGTGGCGTGTTTGAGGATTTGAAACAGGGTCCAAATTTCAGGTTTATAACTCTGATGTTGTTTTCCAATAAGATATTTTAAACTGTATTGTGGAATGGTTGAGTATAAACAGAGAAGTAGGGCTGCACCCCAGAAGTTGCAGTGAGATCATGGGGTAGTCGACTAACTAATTTGTAGAGCCTTCTTATGGTACAATTTTATAAACAAGTTTGAACGACCTCTCTACACGCCATGAGCCTCCCCTTGTTTCGGGGCACGTCGCACCGCTCTGTACTGCCCTAACCATGGCTCGCAAACAGCGAGCCCGCGGCAGCGTGTGCAGACATCAGATGTTCACCGAACCTCCTCATGGGAAATTCCTGAGGTGTAGAGATGATGATCCTTGAGGAGTGCTTCGTACAGTGCGTGGATCTCACGAAAAATCGTTTGGTGAGCGAAGAGCATCAATAATACAAGTGAAAATCACCATCACAGGGATACGTTGCAATCGAAACCGGGTTGTGAAATACCCTAAGCTATCTGCGATGCATGACAGGGAAACTGAGTTGGAGTAGATGGATGGAGATTACACACAAGACGACAGGGAATCATCATCCGACGGTGACTGGATTGTTCAAAAGCCGTACAGTCACCAGTGAGCTCAAGAACACATGTCTTCACGATGATGGCTGATTTGCTCGCAAGAAATACAGTGCATTTTAGCAGTGAGCTGCTCGATTGCTTGAAACCACGATGATCCACAGCACTATCGAATGATAACAAGCAAGTCCAGTGGTTCGTGAAGGATTCTTCATCCGGTTTTCAAGGATGTGTTGGAACGATGAAACATGTTGCAAATCACCAAGGTCTATGCCATTTGATCACATGATGCATCATCTAACTATTACTGGTGTGAACTTGCATCAGATCGTGTGTCCATCAATGAGCCGCTGCCAAGCAAATGATACGGTCACAGCAAACACGAGCACTTTGAAGATGCTGATATTCCAGGCCGTTGAAGATGCTGATATTCCAGGCCGATTTGGCAAATCAAAATGGCACACTGACAATCATGATGACTTAACTAAGTTGAGTAAATATATGACAGTGATCCGATCCCAGACCATCTGGGTCGCAACCGTCACGGAGTCCAGGCGCACAGCGGCCCTCATCGGATCGGACGCAGTCCGGCCCGATGACCAGTCCGATCAACCGATTTGGATTGAGGGCCTCGGCAGTGCGGCCGGGCCGCGCCCCCCGGCGGGCTCATTTCAGTTTTACTGCCAGAACTTCGGAACTTGTGACTCGGCACTGACCGTTGAAACCCACGGGCGGGCCGCCACGGTGACCGCGAAGAAGGTAGTACTAGGTTGACCGTGACCGTTAGGACCTCAGTGGCGGCCGCCGGGGCCGGCAGCCGGCGGGCGGCCCGGGCCACCGCGGAACTCACTGAGTCAGGCTGGCACTGAAGCCTCCAGGCTGTACCGACAGCCGTTGCGGTTATTAGTACGAGTCACGTGCCGGGGGGGGCACCGTAAACCGCCGCAAACTCCAAAATTAGCATCGAAACCCAAAAAGAGTCTAAAAATACCACCCCGCGGTTCCCTAGTAATGACCAGTCTATTTGATGATGGAGGCAAGTGCAGGAGCACGGCACGTAAGACACGCGGCATAGAGCTAGCATCCCTCCCTTGCTCTTGCTTGACCAGAACACTCTTAGTCTACCTCCTCCTCCTCGTCCTCCTCCTTCATACTCCTCCTCCTCCTTCATCCTTCATAATCCTCCTCCTCCTCCTCCTCTTTCATAATCCTCCTCCTCCTCCTCCTTCATACTCCTCCTCCTCCTCCTTCATAATCCTCCTCCTTCATACTCCTCCTCCTCCTCCTTCATAATCCTCCTCCTCCTCCTTCATAATCCTCCTCCTTCTCCTTGCTCTCGCACCTTCTTGTCTTGTTGCTCCGCGCTGAGCTTGTCTCAGGTTGTGAATTGAAGACGCTCAACCATGACTGTGCGTCATCGCTACGGATACATCGGCGTCTTCGGGGACGAGATTGATACGTACGCAAAGGAAGCAAGCGAGCAGGAGCATGTGGACATGCCTCACACTGCTCCCTACCACATGACCTTAATCGCCAAATTTGAAATCCAGCAGCTGGTACTAGAGAATCGCATCAGCCTGGAGGGTCTGGTGGAGGAAGCGCAACAGTTGGAATCAAGATCCATCTACCCGCTGGGGGTCGGCGGGGATCCCAAGGGAGTCTGCTGGGTGGTCATGGTGTGGAACGCCGGCAACATCTTCAGGAAGAAACTTGGCCTGCCTTGCAAGCAGTTCCACATCACTCTCAGCAAAGTCGATGATCACAATGTTGACAAGGGAGTGCGATCACTTAGAGACGAGGGGTTTACAGCAAGACTGGATTCAAGTCAGATGGATCACCTGGTCGTCTCCTGCAACCTCGGCGGCGAGTCCTTGCTCGCCTCCTGCTACGCGCGGGAAATGTGCGCCAGGTTCCCTGAGGTAGGAAAGGGCTGGATCCGACTCGGAGACTGTGCTCGGCAGGAAGGAGCTAGCAAGCTTGCGATGCTAGCGTATGCTCGGAGCCTGCTGTGTCCCCAGGAGAGCGCGAGGCTCGGGGACTACTGCGCCAAGAAGCTCTTGCAGTGCTCTCTTGAGACGGGGTGGGGATGCTTGTTCGGAGACAACGAGTATGAGCAGATCCCCGACGAGCTGAGAAGCCACCTCCTCTCTCCCTGGCCACGGTCGCTGCGGGAGACGGCCATGCGCATCTACGAGAGCAACGCTCCTCTCCTTGTCAGCACTCCTCGCATACACCTGCAGGTCCCGCTGGTCAACGTAGGGAGGGCCAAGGCCGAGGCAGGTACAGGAAGCTTGCTCTTGCTCGTGACTCCATTGACGGCCTGGCAGAGCTCTTCTCTCTCCCCCGCTTCTTCAGCTGGGTCGTCCCTTACTTCCTAGCTGGCATGTCCACACCGCGTTGCGAGGCTGACGTCGTTGCCTTGAGCTCCCCGCACGTCGGCGTGCGCCATGTGGTGACGCTGACCGAAGAGGAGCCGCTTCCGGAGGAGTGGTTCCAGGGCAAGACCGTCTCGCATACTCACCTGCCGATCAGCAACTACCGAGCTCCTTCCATCGAGCAAGTCGACTTCTTCCTCAGGCTCCTCAACGACCCGACCAAGACGCCGCTGCTCGTGCACTGCGGGGGTGGCAAGGGTCGAGCTGGGACGTTGCTTGCATGCTACCTTGCCGTCTACGGATGCCAGCCCCCTGCGACTCAAGATTGGTCTCAACCCGCCATGTCAGCCGGGGAGGCCGTCGCCATGATCAGGCAGCTTCGGCCAGGAAGCATCGAGACGGAGGAGCAGGAGAAGTTCGTCCACACCTTTGTGAGCGCAGTGTGGAGGAGGCAGTCGGCGCTGGCCGAGCTGCCAGAGGAGCCCCAGGGGATCTCGCTGGAGGTGGAGGGGGCAGTGGACGAGAACGCAGACCTGGTTATCTTGTGCGGCCTCCCTGGCTCAGGGAAGTCACACGTGGCGAGGATGATGGCGCTGCGAGACGAGCGATGGCTGGTGGTGTCTCAGGACGAGGCTCGATCCCGCGACGCGTGCGAGCAAGAGGTGTCGAGGCCCGGCAAGCACGGCAAGGTCATCCTTGATCGCTGCAACCCTGACCGGGAGGACCGCCGGCGCTGGCTGGCGCTGGCGCAGTGGGCGAGGAAGCCGATCTGTGTGCACTTTGACTACGAGCAACAGCTGTGCGTCGCTAGAGCACAGCAGCGGATTGACCATCCCACCCTCACCCCCGGACGTCGCGTGCTGACTGCGATCGAGGCGATGGGGAGGAAGATGGAAGCGCCTGGTCTTGACGAGGGGTTCGTGGGGGTCTGCCGCGTGCGGTCCTTGGATGCCGCCAACGAACTGATAGGGCGGCTGACGCCGATGCGGATCTGCAAGTTCGTGAGGACGGGGCACCTGATCAATCTCGGAGCAGCGACGCCCGACGACATCCTGCTGAAGCTGCCGAGCTCGGGGACAGACGTTGTCATCACCGAGAAGGTGGACGGAGCGAACCTGGGCTTTTCCCTCTCCAACGAGAGGACTATCCTTGTGCAGAACCGTTCCCACTACATCAACGCTGCTACCCACGCTCAGTTCCGCCCTCTCTCCGACTGGGTGGAGGACCATAGGGAAGGCCTGTACCGCGTCCTCGATCGCGATCCCAGCTTCCCCGAGAGGTACATCCTCTACGGGGAGTGGCTTGTGGCTACCCACTCCATCCCCTACACGCGGCTGCCCGATCGCTTCCTGGCCTTCGACCTCTACGACCGCAGCAGCAGGAGCTGGGCGGACCGAGACTCTCTCGCGCTGCTGCTGGAAGGGACGGGGATCCACATGGTGCCTGTGCTGTACCGGGGGCAGCGACCGAGCGAGAGCCGCCTGCGGGAGATGGTCCATTCGCCCTCCAGCTTCTACGACGGGCCGGTGGAGGGGATCTACGTGAAGGAGGAGGAGAACGGCCGCGTGCTGAGCAGAGGGAAGATCGTTCGCGCGGACTTCACGGCAGGGATAAGCGAGCACTGGGAGAGAGCGCCGTTGAGGAAGAACGGGATCGTCCGGGAAGGGGAGGAGGAGGACGGCGAGGAGGAGCTCGGACGATGATGGAGAAGGGAGGGAGGGGAGGGAGGGAGGGGAGGGAGGGAGGGAGGGGAGGGAGGGAGAGGGAGGGAGGGAGAGGGAGGGAGAGGGAGGGAGGGAGAGGGAAGGAGGGAGAGGGAGGTAGGGAGAGGGAGGGAGAGGAGAGATGATTTCAATGTGATTGAATGAAGTCTTCTGCACCTTGACTGATCTCAGAGTCTGCTGCTCACTCACTCCCAAGGCTTCAGCCCCGTCTTATACCAGCAGAGCACCAGCGGCGCTCAACCTGACCCTCACTGCTAGAGCAAGAGCTCACCTTGCTCGACCCGCTCAGGATCACTGGCGGCAGCGAGCCTGTCGACCCTCAGGCTGCCGCCAGCGACGCTGCCGACTTGCCTGCCGGATCGACAGACGGGGGGGGGGTCGAGGGTGCCCACCAGCGTGACTGCGCGTGCAGTGGCAGCACTACCGGCATACCAGCAGAGGTGCCAGTCATGGGCGGGATTGGTGGGAGGAGCGTCGGATCAGCAACGAGACTCGCCAGATGCCTTCGCGCGATCGCGAGGCCGACGGCAAGCAGCAGCAGCAGAGGAAACAACATCAGGCAGTCACAACTCCAAGGGGCTCTACTAGGCAGAGAGCGTCATGCTGCTACTCTACATGGAACTTCTCAGGCGCGCAGGCTCGTTGGGTACGAGAGTCCCGCCGTGCTGGGAAGGGAAGGGGATCAACTGACTCCCGATGCGTCGCTGCTTCATCCTTGAAGGATCTGATCTTTCTCTGGAACAGCCCCCGCTCGAGGCTTGCAGCCAAAGAGCCCTTGAGGCCAGTCCGCTGGCTTCTCCTGCAGTATGGGTAGGCAAACATGCATACAAGTCGCGGCGGCCGTGTCACCGGGCTCAGTTTACCGTGAAATCGGCACTCAGTGCCTGTTGACTCAAAACCCACGGGCCGCCGCGCCGCGCAGCACCAGGTTGATGCGACGTTACTGACCGTTGACCGGCCGGGCCGGCACCGGCCGCGCCGCCGTGGGACTGGCACTGAAGCCTCCAGGCTGTACCGACAGCCGTTGCGGTTATTAGTACGAGTCACGTGCCGGGGGGGGGCACCGTCAACTGCCGCAAACTCCAAAATTAGCATCGAAACCCAAAAAGAGTCTAAAAATACCACCCCGCGGTTCCCTAGTAATGACCAGTCTATTTGATGATGGAGGCAAGTGCAGGAGCACGGCACGTGAGACAC